ACACACACAAACACACACAAACACACACAAACACACACAAACACACACAAACACACACACAAACACACACACAAACACACACACACACACACACACAAACACACACAACACACACACACACACACACACAAACACACAGACACACAACACACACACACACAAAAACACACACACACACACACACACACACACACACACACACACACACACACACACACACACACACACACACACACACACACACACACACACACACGCACACGCGCGCGCGCGCGCGCGCACGCACACACGCACACCCGTGCACGCGCACCCGCACGCACACACACACGCACCCGCACCCGCACCCGCACGCACACACACGCACCCGCACTTGCACACGCAAACGCACATGCACAACCTCCAGAAACTCGTGCCGGCTTGCCTTCTCGGGACTCGCCGCGGCCTCGAGCAGCATGTCGTCCATGCCTCCCGACATGGCTTGCATCACAAAGCTTCGGACAGTCGTAAAGGGCTCATGCGTGTATGGTGCAAACTTGCCCATGTCCAACATCGCCCATCTGAATGGGTCCAAAGACTCCTTGATCAAGACCATGAACTCGGACACATCCGCTCGGTCTTTCGGTTGCACCAAGCCGAGCATGGACTCGAGCACGACCAAACGCAGGTGGAGAGCGTGTGTCAGCTGGAGTAGCTGATCTCGGGTGAGCTTGCGCAAGTCGGGCCACGGACACATGACGTGCAGCCTCTCCAACACCGCTCCAGCCGGAAGCACCTCCGATCTCAGCTCCTGAATCAGCGACCGGATGCTAAGCAAAAAAATCACATTACCAGAAACCCAACACGCCCACTCTGCCGGACCCTTAGGGCCTTCACGTACAGGCACATGACGAATCGAAACTCTTCGGGCGTCTTGAGCGCTCCGGCCCTTGGCTGTTTCTCGGGCTGCGAACTCTGAACTTGGACCATCGCATCAATCGTGCCACATGAATCACGCAGACAAGCAGCACGCGGCAAACAACTGCCCATTTGGCCAGCCAAGTCTTCGTCTTGTTCACGATTTGGGTCGAGTGGAGGGCATGCAAGAGACCAGCTCGTTCGGCTTTCTCGTGCAAGTGAAGCAGACGTTGCACTTGATCCAGCGACGTCACCTTGTCAAGCACAAAGCCCCACGTTGAATTCTCCCACAAACACAGAACACCCCACTGGAACGAAACAGCTAACCAGAAAGCCCGACCTCGCTGTCGGATTCGGCCCACGTAATGCCTTTCAGGCTCTCGTACACATCCTTGTGCGTCGCGGGCCTGGCCTCGGACTCGAGCGCGGCTCTCAACCTGGCCGTGCACACTCCGAACTTTCTCCTCTCAGGCTGACTCGGGGACTGCAAGCACCTGCCTCACGAGTCGGGCGGCTAGCACGAACGGCATCGAGTTCGAGCCCTCCTGCGCCGACTTAGACGCATCCTCTCCACTCTGGATCAAGTTGAGGACAAGCTTGTGCGAGTTGTGCTCCGTGCTCTGGACTCGGACGATACCGAAGATAACACTGCCCGCCAGGTCGGCCAATCTCGAGGCTCGGTCACTGTCACCAGCCATTTCGGCCTCGGACCATGTCAAGATCAAGCTGGTGATCTTCTGCACATCCTCGGCCAACTTCAGCTCCCCCCGCTTGCTGCCCTCGTGCACTGTCGTGGCCACGAACAATGTCTCGGGCAAAACTCGCGCCGTCCCCCACCAGTATGCAGCACTCTCGTGCATCTGCGTGGTCGACGTGCTCTCCACGGTCTCGAAATCGATGTCGGCCAGCGTCCCCGCATAGGTTGCTGCCTCGGGTGGTTTTTACTCGGGCACTGGAAGGTCAAAGACTCGGACGATCTACTTTAATACCGAGGCACTTTCACAACCATTGCCCCCGTGAAGTCCTCTGGAAAGGGCTTCACATTGTGGGCGCTCGTCCTGCTCGGTCTCAAACTCTGCCAAAGTTTCTTCTTCTTCAGGAAAGCGATGGCCTCCTTCAACGCCAAAGCTCCGCTGCATAGCTCGGCCGGACACGCCGCCGCCTTCTCCTCGGGCTTCGCCTCGGTCTTGGACTCTGGCTTGGCGTCTGGCTCGGCCCCTGCTTTGGCCGGTGCTTTGGCCGGTGCCTTGGCCACTGCCTTACCCCCTGACTTGGCCGCCGCCTTCGCCTTCTGCGCTTTGGCTTTAACCATACTTGTAGCAGCTCGGAGAATGACAAAATCGGTCAAAATCACTCGTGCCGAAACTCAAAGACACGAACAGGACCTGCTTTTCCCTTGTGCGCAGAGTTCACAAGTAGGCTCTCTGGATCAGTTTCAACTCTGAGGCCTCCACTCAGATCGGATTTCGGACAGCATCCCGCCGAACGCCGCCTGCCCAGTTCAATTGCAACAAAAAATCTCATGACAGTCAGACGATGAATGCATGGTCTCCCCCCTGGCAAGCGATGCACCGGCCCGTCTTTTATAAGGAAGCTCGGACGCCGTCGCTGGCTCGAAGCAACACTACCGTCTATCCGCCAGGCGGCAAACGTGCGCGAAGCAAAGTTACTTCTGAGACGGCTCGCTCTGGCTGTGCTCGGTCTCCTCGCAAAGCTGTCTCTCGGGTTTGATCACAGCCTTGCAACTCGGGCAGATGTACCTGTACTTGCGCTTCTTGCTCTGGTGCTGTGCTTTCCAGATAGCGACGGCGTTCGCCTTCCGCAGGGCCGGCTTCATCATCTCCGGCTTGCTTTTGGATCCCGTTGCTCGTGCGGACAAATTCATCATCTTCAGTTGGTTCTCGATCTCCGCACTCAAACTCTGGTCCTTGTTACCTTTCTTCAAGATGTTGTGACCATACACATAAATCCTCGGGGCATTCTTGTGGAAGATCCATGGGCAACGGCCATCCACAACGCGGGCCTCGGCTTCATTTTCAATCGGACACGGCAGCACAAGCAGAAGGAGCACAGCATGAAAAGTCCTCAGTCTAACTAAGGTAAGATAATTTTTATCGCCTAGCCACTTTGTGATAACAATCAACCGCCTCTCCGACATCGGATGCATTTGTGTGCACCCACAACCGTTCCTCCTTGTCGGGCAACACACCATCGGGCTTCGCTGTTGACCAGACTGCCCCCAAATACTCCTCGTCGTGACCTCCTGTCAGACAGACCGTGTTCGGACTCAGAAACTTGCAAATGGTTCCTGTACTTTGAAATTTTACTGCCACAGTGACACATGTCATCATTACTCGACATCATCTCCTGGAACATAGGCTGTCGGGCCGGGCTTTGGGTGACAAAACACGTTCAACGTGGTGAAGAGGCGCTTGGTATCCTTCGTCTCGGACTCCGGCTCAGTCCTGCGTCGCGAAGATGGAACCCCAACCCTTACTGCCCCCCCCCCCGCCGCCGCCCCCCCACCCCCCCCCCCCCCCTCTACATACACAGTGTCACGAACACTAACAAGTCTCCCACACCGCCTCAGGAGCTTCTCCAACGCACGGGCAAAGTTCGGCATATTGGCATGCTGCACCTCCAACCCGGACTTCGCACGCGCCAGCCCCACGGTCAAAATCTTGCCCTTCTGAAGCAGCGGGCAGGTCCGGAGAAACGCATCTGCTTGCTGCGGTGTCCAACTTGTCCCTGCTGGCAAATCTTCCATCTTGCCCGTGGTGCTCGGGCCCTTCTTGTTTTGGTCCTTCTTGACACCTGTCTCCCGGGCGGATCCTGCGGGAATATGCATTACAAGCGAAGCCAGAAGACAAACTGAGCACGTCCTCCAGTCGTCTCATTGCTCTTGGAAGCCTGAATCATGCGCTGCATTCGCTCGGTCAGAAGCCCTGCGGAACTCAGACATGCGGATTCCAGCCTCTTTCCCCATGCTGCAGAAAGAGAAGAGATGACTCGGTCGACTAGGCTCGAGCTGCTGCCGCCAGATCAAATTTCATGCTGTTTACCTTTTTTGCGACTGAAAATTTTGGTTAAATGCACACCCACGGACCCCCTACGTTTAAACGGCTCGGCCCGGGGCCGAACTGGTTAAATGTATACCCCCCATGGTTGATCATGAGCTCGGGGCAGGTCAGACATACATGTCGGCCCCAGGGCCCCCTACGTTTAAACGGCTCGGCCCGGGGCCGAACTGGTTAAATGTACACCCACAGACCCCCTACGGATAACCAGAGAAATCCGACATCATGGATTTTCTGGAACGATCTGGGCCCCAGCTACCCCCGTCTCGGTGAAACACCTTTCAGACACTCTCACCGTCCCAGTCAGACTCCTCGACGCTTTCTCTGCTTCGGCTCCGCTCCTTCTTGGACTTCATGAGGCCACGCTCGCCAAGCTGCCTAGGCAATCCTCTTCCCTCTCGGGCTCGGGTGATGTACTTCCAGGCCTGCAAAGGGCGGCGGTCGAACACATTGCACGGCATGACACTGGTTTGTCTCGGTGAAAAATCTACTGTGATGGTTCTACCCAGATCGCTTCTTCTTCTTCTTGAGCCACGGTCCCAGACTCTGCCAAAGATCGGGCAACGGCTCCGAACCCGAATCCACCAAACCTGCCGCGGGCAGCACTCGGGCCAGCAGACGCTCGAGAACATTGCAGGAGACCGCGTTGCCCAGCGCTGCTCCGACGGCGGGCTCGGACGTTGCTCGGACCATGACATCGGTCACCACATCCGGAAATCCTGCAGGGAAACGCAAATGTTCCCTGTGAGGTTCGAACTAGAAGCCTCTCACACTGCAACCCTCTGAGGCCTTGGAAGCGACCCAGCTCCGTGATGCTCATTCGTTGCCGTCGGGCTGGAAGGTACCAGCTTCGTGTGCTTCCGCGGCTGGCAGTCAGGGTTGGAATGCCTCGGTCGATTCCGCACTGCCTGGCCAGGCAGTCCCTCTGTGACTGTGTGCTGAAACCCTCGGACTCCGCCAAACCCTAAAGCCCATACACCCTTTTAAACCTTACTAATTTTAAACCATAAACCCGAAACCCTAAACCGTAAACCCTCAACCCTCCCGGCCTGTGCTGCCCTCCGCCGACATCCACAACAAAGCCGTGCTGTCGGAGGAGCTTCACACCGTAGGCTTCTCGGGCCTGCAGCGATTGAAAAACTCTGCATTCGTTGGACAAGACGCTGTGCTCCCGGCTGGTCGGTGCAAGACTGGGCGCCGCACGTGTTCAAGGTTGGCCTTGAATGTCTCGCACTGGGCACCCTCGTCAATGACGGGCAAGTCGGGTCTCGGGCTCTTGTCCACAAAGCCTCTGCTGCGAACCTGACCCGTGTCTCTCTGAGTATCAGCCAGGGGTCTGCACTCTTGCTTTTGACACATGGGCCGGCCTCATCCTCGAGCGGCAGCGGAAACACATCCTCAATCTCGATACTCGGGCGGAGACATTCGAGCTTTATGGCAACCAGGTAAAATCTCCAGCGGCCCTGAGGTATCCCGTGCTCGGCCGTGCATAGCAGGCGGTGTTGGCACACCTGTGCAGAAAGCCAAAATCCGGAATCTGGTCAGTCATAAATTATATGCATTGAATTGATCCGGGGTACATATCCGGCGAACCGCAGCTCGGACACAGCACTGTTCACCACTTCACGGTGTCTCTGCCAAAGTCCTGGAACATTTTCCATAACCGCCACCTGAATCCAGTGGGCTTTGCCTGTTCTCATCAATACTAATTCTAGCTCGGTCTCGGAGTCAGTCACAGATTCACAACCAAGAGTTCTGAGGACGAAGCTCGTGGCCTCTCGGACAAGATGCGATCCACGGACACTTGGAACAGTTGGCCGTTCATGCCTCGAACTCCTGCAACGTTGTTCTTGCTCGCTCAGACACTCTCACAACTCTGCTGCCCCTACCCGGTCCTCTCTGTTTGCCCGCGATCGAGTAGTCTTGGCACGGTGTCGTGGACAGGTAGAGATCCGTCTCGCTGCTCGGGCTCGGGCGAGTCCTGATGTCGTCAGAGACGAGCTCGGGCTGGACGCCACAATAGTTGTGAACAACCTGCATCATGGCTCGAACTCGTGCGTCGGACTCGGAGACGGCCTGTAGCTCGAAATTCACCTTCAAGAAGTGCAAGGCCAGTGCCTCGGGCCGATGCAAAATGGCAATGCAACTCGCAACGCTACTTATTGGCGCCGTGCTGCCCCAGTGTTGAAGCCGCAGCAATCAGACACCACTCGGACAGGAGCCATGGTGTGAAAGGTCGGGTGGCGCAAACCGAGGCGGGCGGTGGATCCCCTCTTAAGCCGCCCTCGGTCTCGGGCACAAGCACACAAAGGCACTACTACCACCAAACTGCCAGCACATGCCACGATCCGTCCTGGCAGCACACATTAATGCCACGGCAGCCTTGAACGCCGCCGACACGGGCTCTGCCATGGAAGGCCTGGGCACCGGTATTTGGCATGTTGAACCCATGCTTGTCACGTGGACAGCTGACTCTGCACATGGGAAACCTTTTTTTGCCTTGGCGACACCCCTGCTGCGCCACTCGAGCGAAAGCCGTGACAGTGAAAGATGTTATTACTCCATCATCCACGGCACTCCTCGGTCAATGCCTTTTGCATCGAGCAGCAACTTCAGGTGAGCGTTCTCTTTCATACACTCTTCTAGCCACTCGAGCTGACCTTCTTTCTCGGTCTTGAAACACTCAAGCCGTGCCACTGCTTCCCGCAACACTTTAACCTCACGTCGCTCGGTCTCCAGTGCCCCCTGAAGCCGTGCTACTTGTACACGCAAAGCCTCGACTGTGTCATGCGGCTTGGACGCAAGGAGTTCTTCGAGCTGGGCCACTTTATGGAGTGCCGCTTTCAAATCGGACTCCAACTTCTGCACTGCTGCAGCCCCTTTCCTCCGCACGGGCAACAACAAGATCAGATTTCTCAAAAAACTTTTATTATGTAGACAAATATTCATAATGTTCTTTCAACCGGGTAGCCGCGTCCGCGCCTTGCATTTGCGGTTATTCTCGTACTCCTTCTGCTTGGCTTTCCTGTCATTCTTTTTTTTCTCTGTCTCTGACTCGTGCGGGTTGCTCTGTTGGACTAGTGGATGTTGTTGCCTCTGCCTGCCAGTGTCAAAAAAACATCCAAGAATAATCGCCCGGGCAGTTAAAAAAAAAGAATCTTAAACCGTTCCAGTATCTTGCAGTCGGGACGCACCGGCTCACTTTTCGGGCTGATCTCGTTCTTCACTGCTGGTTTCGATGGTTTCGGCTGCACGGACACAATGGCCTTGGGCTCTTGTTTCACTCG